TAAAAAAAAAAAAGTCATAAAATAAGTTTCCCTGTTAATGATACATGTCATATTCTGTCCATCTATCTTGCTACCTATCTACCTAGTTATCTTCGATCTGTCTGTCTGTCTATCTACCTACCCTATCTATCAATCTCTCCTTTCTCTTCTCTTTTTCTCTTCATTTCTTTTCTTCTCTCTCTCTCTCTAATCTCTATCTAATCTATCTTTATCAATTTCTATTTCTTATCTATCTATCTATCTTTATTCTTTATTATCTATTCTTTATTCTATTTCCTCTTCTCTCTCTCTTCTTGCCTCTCTCTCTCTGGTCTTCGTCTTTTCTCTTCTATCTTCTCTTCTTTCTCTCTCTCATTCTCTCTTCTTCTTCTCTCTCTCTCTCTTCATCTCTCTCTTTCTCTCTTCTCGCTCTCTCTGTCTTCCTCCTTATCTCTCTTGGGTTCTCTCTTCGGGGTCTCGGCTATCTCTTCTTCTCTCTCCTCTCTCTGTCTGTCTGTCTTGGTCGTTTGGTTTTTTGCTTCTTCGTTCTCGTGTCGTTTCGGTTCTGGTCGTTTCTTGTTCGCGTTTATCTCCTCGTTCCCTCTGGTTCTTGTCTGTTGTGTTTAGTTTTGTGCTGTGTCGTGTGAATGTGTTGTGTCGTCGTGTTTGTTTGTTGTGTGTGTGAATTGTGCGTTCGTGTTTGTTTTGCTGTGTGTGTGTTCGTGTGTTTGTTTGTTCGTGTGTGGCGGGGTTGCATTAGCCTCGCGTGTGTTTGTTTCGTTGTGTCGTGTGCATTGTGTGTGCGGTGTGTTGTGCTTGTCGTGTGATTCGTGTTTTGTTTGTCTGTTGTGTGTTTTTGTTCTGTGTTGTATTTCTCGGTTCTGGTGTGTGTGTGTTTGTTTTTGTTTTTCGTGCTGTGTGTTGTTGTGCGTGTATTCGTGTTTGTGTGTTGCTTGTTGGTTGTGTGGTGTGTGTGTTTGGTTTGTGTTTGTGTGCTTGGTGTTTGTGGCGTCTTTGTTTGTGTGTGTGTTTGGTGTGTTGTGATGGCGTTTGCGTCGTGTGTGGGTTTGTTGTGTGTGTGTGTGTGAATTGTTGTTTTGTTCGTGTACTTTGTTTGTTGTAGTGTTTTGTGTTATCCGTGCGTGTCTGCGAGTGGGTTTCTTTTTGTTTATTCTGGTGTGTTGTGTGTGTTTGTGTTTTGTCGTGTAATGCTTTGTTCCTGTATCTGTCGTGTTTTATTTGTGTTTTGGTCGTGTGGTGTGATGCTGTATTGTGCTGTGTTTGTATGTGTATGTGTCGTGGTGTGTGTATTTTGTGTGGGTGTTCTGGTTTCTCTTTTCTCTTTTTTTTCTTTTTCTTTTTTGGTTCTTTTTTTTTTTTTCTGTATTTGCTGTGGTGTTTTTTCTTGTGTTGTCTTGTGTTTTTTCTGTGTTGCGTCTGTTGTTGTCTGTTTTCATTAATTCCTCCTCTCCTCCTGCTCTCTTCTCTCCTCGCTCTCCTCTCGTCGCTCTCCGTTCTTCCTCTCATCTCTGCTCTCTCTCTCTCTCTCTCTCCTTCTCTCTCTCGTCCTCTCTCTCTCTCTCCTCTCGCCCCCCCTTCTCTCCTCCTCCTCGCGCCTTCTCTCTCTCCTCTCTCCCTCTCTCCTCCTCTCTCTCTCTCTCGTCTCTTCCTCTCTCTCGTCTACTCTCCTGTCTCTTGCTCCGGCCTCTCTTCGTCTCTCTCCTTCCCCTTCTCTGTCTCCTCTCCCTTCACTCCCTCCCTTCCCTCTCCGCCTCTCTCGTCTCCTCTCCGCGCACGCTTTTCATTCATCCTCACATCTCTTGTCTCTCTGGGCCAGTCTCCCTCCCTCCCAGTTCTCTCGTGACGCTTTGCTCTCTTCGTCCTACTCTCATCATCTCTCTCTCATCTCTCCTCTCTCTTTCCTCTCTCTCGTCTCTCTCTCTCTCCATCCTCTCTTCTCGTCCTCTCTCTCTCTCTTCTCTTCAGTCTCTCTCTCTCTCCTCTCCTCCTCTCGTCTCCGGTCTCCCTCTCTCACGCTCATCCCGCTCCCCTCTTTCTCCTCGTCTCTCTCTCTCCTCTCTTACCCCCTACCCTCCCTCTGTCTCCGCCACCCCGTCTCTCTCTCCTCTCTCTCTCTCTCTCTCTTTCGTCGATCTCCTTCCTCTACCGCCGTTGTTTCGAATAACCATGCTCCTGCCTACTGTGCAATATTATTAATATTACTTTGTTCTTGCAATATAAACAAATTGTCGTTTATGGTTGTTTGGATAAAGATGCAATTATCGAAGAAATTTGTATAATTTTGATATTTAATTTTGTGGTTTTTTTTAATTTTATAAACTTGATTTCATGCGCGGTAATGACGTTT